AGAGAGAGAGAGAGAGAGAGAGAGAGAGAGAGAGAGAGAGAGAGAGAGAGAGAGAGAGAGAGATGAGCGATACAAGTTTGGTTGTCACTTACCTGTGAAGCGAGCTGTGCAGTCCCACGCGGAGGAGGAAGAAGCGGCCATAGCCGCGGAGCATCATCACGGAGTAATGAAGGAGGGAGAGAGATCGGACAGAGGGGGAGAGACCGAGAAGGGAGAGAAAGCGGCCATAGCCGAGCGGTGAAGAGAAGACCGATCAAAAAAAAAAAAAAAAAAAAAAGGAGAAGAAGAAGACAGCCGGGGTGAAAGGAGTCGAGGAAGGTGAAAGGGAAGAGAGAGGGTTGGCGAGGAAGAGGAGCCGGAAGCCATAGCTAACCGGAGGGTTGACCAAGAAGGTTGACCGGAGGTGTTGACTGGCGTTTACCGGAGTTGACCGGGGGTTGACCGCAGCGTTGACCGGCGTTGACCAAGACTTTGACCAAGCTGGAGTTGGTAACATCTCGCCAAGCCCTCAGCCTATCCCTTGCCCTATGGATGTGCACACACCCCTTGGTACTTGCTGAGTCCAGTATGTCTGTCTATTCTTTCTGCATTGAGTCTCTTCTGTCCTAGGTGATAGTACTCTGTGAATGAAGGATAGGGTCTTGTTGACCAAACCCACACGGGATGAGTAGGGCTAAAAGCTGTGTCTGACGACTCGACTGTCCCGGAGGTCAAACCCTCCCAAGGACCGGTACTGGCCGGCGGGCTGCTCCGTGTGGCATGGTAGGCCTCAAAATCCGAGCTCTGGGCTGCACAACAGACCGTCTAAGTCTTGAGAGACCTGCTGATCGCGTCGTCCTGTTTGCGACGTTAAATAATTCCTGAGGAGTTCGGGGGATCTCCTTAAATGCCTCCTGATCAGCAACAGGTCTAGTAGTGACAGCCATAGTTAGGTCTAGGCTAGAGACCATAGTTGGCAGGATCCTTGTCAGGATTCTGTGAGCCTTAGATTGAATCAGTAGGTCTGTCAGTCAGGGGTTAGAGTCGACGTGGTGAGGTTTGGAACCACCACTCGGTTGTGCACTTTTCACCATGGTTGAGACGCGCAGTGGGAAGGACACTAGCCCCTACACCAAGGAGCAGCAAGAAAAGATGGCCGCCTTAGTTAAGGAGAATAGGGAGAGAAAAGAGCACGAGAAGCAAGCGAAGTTAAAGGCGATTGCAGAGAAACAGGCGGCGAAGATGAAGGAATTAGAGGAGGAGATGGAGAAAAAGAAGAAGGCTGCTGAAGAAGAAGCGGCAGCAGAAGAAGAAAAAGAGAGAATGAGGATTGAGAGTGGAGAAGGGAGCAAAGGTGGCACGATGAAGAGGGATACAAACGTTGAGATTGAGAAGAAGATAAGCGAGTGGGTCGCTAATTTATCGTTGAGAGAAGATGAGGAGGTAGAGTCCTATGTGACTCAGGATGAGAGGGATGCACTAGCCAGCGAGCTAGCAACAATGACAGACCCTATGGAACGACGAGAAAGGGAGGAGGAGCAGAAATTGGCGTGGAAGCTGAGGATGAAAAGGGAGAAGAAGAGGAGGAGAGAAGAAGTGAGCAAACGGACCGCGGAGGTGGCAAAGGTGCAGGAATGTAGAAAGGAAGTGTTGGCCCAGCCGGATGACAAGGCCAAGTGGGATAAGGTGCTGGGCTACCTAGAGGTGTTGAGCAAAGCCTGGATGGAGGAGCGCCAGGCCAGTTGGAGCCAAGACGTAGCGTTGAGCGCCATGCGGTCGGGGTTCAGAGACTTTGCGCGCGAGATCGTCACCCACATTGGGGGCGAAGTAAGGCAACTAAGGGACAACTTAGGGAAGTTTTGTGAGGGCGCTATTGAGGGCGCCAAAGCCATAGCCGTTGTAGAAGGCGAGGCCAGGCCTCACAAGGACCCAGTTAAGCTTAAATTCCCGGAGGCTTATGGAGGGAAGAAGGAGGAGAACTTGGACAACTGGGAGGCCAGTGTCAACAGTTACATTTATTTGCAGCGTATCCTAACAGAGGAGCAAGTCCTCGTGGCCTTCCAGGCCCTCAAAGATGAAGCGGCTAGTTTCGCTAGGTTCCTTGCGCGCGCAGCCGGTTGTGAGAACAACCTGGTTGCTTACTCCAAAGTCACCCCCCTTCCTCAATTCCTCAAGCTCTTGAAGGAGCGGTTTGCAGACCCAACGAGAGGCGTTCGCGCCTCTGATAAGCTGCAAACGACAGCGGAGGAGTGCAAGAGCACTCAAGGGTACCATGGACGACTTGGTAGCCGTCTCGGACCATGGGGTCACTGAGCCCCAGTTGGTTCAGGTATTTTATCGTGCCATGCCAGAGGCCCTACATGGGCATTTCTTTGACAAGTCTCAACAGGCCGGCATCACTTACGATGCGTTGAGTAGAGAAGTCGTCCTGTATGAGTCAAAGTCCATGTCAGTTACCACTTTCTGGCACAAGGACTTAGATAAGGGAAAAAAGTGGAAAGGTCGTACCATCTCAGGCCAGGTGAGGGCCAAGGATCACATGATCCTTACCTTAGAGGAAGGTGGTACTGACGAGGTCCCATATAGTCAGATTGAGTGGGGCCTAGAGGAAGAGGACAGTAGTATGGGGCAGGGAAGGTCCTATGCTGCTGTCGCGGCTGGAGGGAGGCCGCCAGTTAGGGGAGGAGGCCAGGGCCAAAGGGGCCAGGCCATGGGAGGCCGAGGACCGGGCGCACAGGGGGTTGGCGGACAGGGAAACCGCCAAGCGGGAGGTAGGGGTCAAGGTCGGGCCAAAGGGGCCAGGCCATGGGAGGCCGAGGACCGGGCGCACAGGGGGTTGGCGGACAGGGAAACCGCCAAGTGGGAGGTAGGGGTCAAGGTCCCCCGCCAAATCGCCAAGGTTCTAACCGGTCCCCACAGCGAAGAGGTGGAAGGGCACCTCAAGGAGGATGGCACCCAGGCTTGCCACATGGCAGACCCTCGGAAGACTTGGGCTTGGACCAGCGGTTTAGCAGGAACGCGTGAACCTGGGTCAGTGCGTGTTTTGTGGTGACCCGGCTCACGTTATTAAATTTTGTCCCAAGCATAGATAGGCCCGTTGGGCTGCCCAACAGTCAAAAGGAAGCCGCCAGTAGGGATCGCAACTGCCCCTACTTCAAGGCCATGTGGAGAAGTGAGCGCGCGCGAACAGGACACTCCCAACCCACATGAGCCTATGGCAGAGGTTGCAGGCCGGTGCCTAGCTAGCTGTCCAGAGACTGCTTGTGTTAGCGTCTCTTTAGGCACGTCCCTCATAGGTGTGGCAGAAGAGTTAAAGGAGAGGATGCCAGCTTGGGCCAAAATGAAGAAGGAGAGTAAAGGACAACTTATCTTGGTAGACGTAGAGGTGTTTAGAAGCAGAGTAGGGGCCCTTATAGACTCAGGGGCCACCCGCAGTTATATTAGCCGAAGGGCGCTGAAGAAGCTGAGGCTAGGATTGAAAGTCCAAAAGTTAGCAAACCCTATAGTCAGTGTCCTCGCAGACAACGGCACGATGCGAGTTGAGGACTACGTAGAGAGGGAGTTCATGCGTACTTTCGCCTAGAGAAAGATGGGAAGGTGGTGAAAGTTCTCCATTCCCTAACTCTCCTCGTACAGGATGACCTTCCTTTCGATGTAGTATTGGGAATGGATTGGGGAGAGGCAGCAGGGGCCACACTCCATTTGAGAGAGCATGAGTGTAGGCTCCCTAGTCCGTCAGGCGAGGTTAAGACTCCCCGCCTGTTTCATGTGTCAGGTGTAGATAACACCTTGGCACATTGTTGTCTTAGTGCTCCCGCGTTCGCGCGATTAGTGAAAAAGGAGCAGTTAGAGGACCAGGTCTTTGTAGTTTATGTCAGACCTGTCACTGAGGCCAGGAAGGAAGACAGTTCCACAGATCCACCGATTGCCAAGCTACTGGAAGAGTTCAAAGATTTGACTGAGTCGCCGACAGGAGTAGTGTCGCGACCCATCCAGCACAGGATAGAGATAGAGCCTGGCAGTAGAACTCCTAAGGGCGCAGTTTACAGGATGTCCCCTAGAGAGTTAGAGGAGCTTCGCAAGCAGTTAGACGAACTCCTCGAGAGAGGTTGGATCAGGCCCAGTTCGTCTCCTTTTGGAGCACCAGTTTTATTTGTCCCCAAAAAGGAAGGAGAGCTTCGTATGTGTATAGACTATAGGGGTTTGAACGCGATTACTGTGAAGAGTGTTGAGTCACTGCCCAGGATAGACGATCTTTTAGATCGGGTGCAGGGTTGTAAGTATTTCTCCAAGATAGACTTGAAGTCCGGTTATCATCAGATAGATATCCATCCTGATGACCAGTACAAGATTGCGTTCCGGGCTAGATACGGGCACCATGAGTTTATAGTGATGCCCTTTGGACTAACCAATGCGCCAGCCACTTTTCAGCGTCGTATGAATGATTTGTTCAGACCATGGTTAGACAAGTTTGTAGTAGTTTATCTAGATGATATCCTAGTTTTTAGTAAGACCCTCCAGGAGCACCAGGGTCATGAGAGGCAGGTCTTGGAGAAGCTACGAGAGGCTAACTTCAAGATCAACGCAAAGAAGTGCGAGTGTGCCAAGACACAAGTCCTGTACTTGGGCCACGTGTTGGACGGAGATGGCATTAAGCCAGAGGACAGTAAGATAGCGACGATTAGAGATTGGCCGACGCCCCGCACACTGACAGAGTTGCGGTCGTTCCTAAGCTTAGCTAACTACTACAGGAAGTTCATGCGGAACTTCTCCACTTTCGCCGCTCCCCTTCGCAGGTTGCTTAAAAAAGAGGCAATCTGGCAATGGGACAAAGATTGTACGTATGCGCTAAAGAGATTGAAGCGCGCACTAATAGAGTACCCTGTCCTCAAAGTAGCAGATCCGTCTTTGCCATTTGTCGTCACCACGGACGCAAGTCAGTATGGGATAGGTGTCGTGTTGCAGCAGGATGACGGCAATGGCTATAGACCCGTAGAGTTCATGTCCGCGAGGATGCCCTCAGAGAAGGTAGCCACCTCGACGTACGAGAGAGAACTCTACGCTCTCAGGCAGGCTCTAGACCACTGGAAGCATTACCTGCTTGGGAGGCACTTCAAAGTGTATTCTTACCACGAGACCCTTAGATGGTTGAAGACTCAGGCCAAGATGACACCTAAGTTGCCTAGGTGGGCCGCAAAGATAGACCAATATGACTTTGAGCATAAGCCAGTGAAGGGCAAGTACAATGTAGTTGCGGATGCTCTAAGTAGAAGATCGGACTACTTTGGAGCTATAGTACACTATCTGGATATAGGGAGAGACCTGCAGGAGAAAGTGAAGCAAGCGTATGCGCAGGACCCTATCTATAGCGACCTCCTAAAGAGAGTTAGAGAGGCCCCAGAGACTGAGCCAGATTACCGCACTACAGAGGGATTACTGTTTGAGAAGACTAATGTATTTGACCGCCTATGCGTTCCCAACAACGAAGAGATTCGTAGTTTGATTTTAGGGGAATGCCACGATACCGAGGGACATTTCGGTTGGCAAAAGACTCTAGCCAATCTAATGCATGCGTATACCTGACCGAGAATGAAGAATGACTGCATAGAGTATGTCCGCAGTTGTAAAGTTTGCCAAAGGAATAAGACGACTACGCGTGCCCCCCTAGGTCTTCTCAGACCCTTGCCTATTCCGGATCAGCCGGGAGACTCAGTGTCCATAGACTTTATGGACACCCAAGTCAAGAGCAAACATGGCAAGAGCCAAGTCATGGTCATAGTTGACCGATTTAGTAAGTATGCAGTTTTTGTCCCTTTGCCTGCAGAGGCACGCACAGATTTAGTGATACAAAAGTTCTTTGACTTTTGGGTTAGTGAGAATGGAATCCCATTGTCAATAGTTAGTGATAGAGACAGTCGTGTCACCAGCCAGAACTGGCAAGAACTCATGAGAGTCTACGGATCTAAGTTGTTGATGTCGTCTGGCCGCCACCCAGAGACTAACGGTCAGACAGAACAGATGAACAAGATCCTACAGCAAGTTCTGCGCATGTACATTAGACCAGATCAGATCAACTGGGATGAGATGTTGCCCAAGGTAGCTAACGCATACAACAACAGTGTGCATCTATCCACCTGTCGCACTCCCAATGAGTTGCACAAGTCCTTTAGGCCGCGCAGACCATTCGAAGGACTGAACCGGGATCAAATTCACAGACGACCACCCGGTACCAGGGCGTTTGCGATACATCACGAGAAAGAATTAGCAACTGTTGTTGAGAACCTCCGTAAGGCCCAGCATAGGATGATAGAACAGGCTAATAAGCACCGTCGCCCATCACAGTTTCAAGTAGGCGACCTAGTCTGGATCAAGGCAAAAGAGTTTGCACCTGAAGAAAACATCTCGCAAAAGTTACTGCCTGCATATAGAGGACCGTGGCCGTTACCCCGTGTTCCATACTTCAAATTGCTGCCGTGTGTCACAAGTCAACAGTTCCCTTCAAGAAGATCCATGATCCCCCCGAATATGGATGGAAGTTATGACATTGACGGCATTGTAGATGAGGATGTGTTCAGAACAGGAGGTGGAGGTCGTCCACAGAAACAGTATAAGGTCTGGTTTGCTTATCAGGAACCGGAAGACGACCACTGGTTCACAAGGACAAAACTTCTAGAAACACCTCCCGACATAGTCAGAGCCTATGAACGTGATAAGAAAGGTAGAGGTCCTGCCTTGGACTGAAATATTCTCGGAGGACCTACCCCGTGTTCCATACTTCAAAGTTGCTGCCGTGTGTCACAAGTCAACAGTTCCCTTCAAGAAGATCCATGATCCCCCCGGATATGGATGGAAGTTATGACATTGACGGCATTGTAGATGAGGATGTGTTCAGAACAGGAGGTAGAGGTCGTCCACAGAAACAGTATAAGGTCTGGTTTGCTTATCAGGAACCGGAAGACGACCACTGGTTCACAAGGACAAAACTTCTAGAAACAGCTCCCGACATAGTCAGAGCCTATGAACGTGATAAGAAAGGTAGAGGTCCTGCCTTGGACTGAAATATTCTCGGAGGACCTTGACTTTAGGACGGCGGGAGTGAAACGGTTTTCACCTTTTAGCAGTAGCGGATGCAGGACCCAGGGTTCGATCCCTAGACCTCACCCTACCCATGTAAAGTATCTGTGTAAGACGCCGAGAGTTGAACCTGTGACCTGTGTATTCGTAGACAGTTGGTAGGTCTGTCGTAGGTCCATAAGAAACAGGGGTTCGATCTGTAGGTCTATAGAGTAGAAGTCTTAGCAAGTTCCAGAAGTCTAGCTGTAGTCCTTCTAGAAGGTCAGCAAGTGGGCAAGTGGTCAAGTGGCGAGGCAAGAGGTGGACTAAACTGCAGTGCAATTGCAGTACGTCGACGGTAGGATAGCAGCGAGTCCACAGACAGTCAGCGGTAAGGTCCAGTCAGTCCCAGTTCGGTCCAGCAAGTACCACGGGGGACCGTGCACACCATGGGCCGATGGCAAAGGGCAGACCAACGAGTTTTCGAAGTATAAATCAAGAGGCAGCGCCCAGCCTTTCATTCATTCCCGCGTGAGCCATGCGGAAGCGCTGTCACAGCGACTTGTGCAAGGAGGTCTGCAGTGAGCCCGGAGGACGCAGTGGGCAAAAGAGGAGGAGTTAGCATAGCGATAGGGTAGAGGCAGCCATAGCTGCCATAGCTGTAGTTAGTGTGAAGCGTGTGTGCGTATGTGCGAGTGTTCAGAGTTACGCATGTGGGATATCCAGGGTGATCCGGTGTGTGTGAACAGTGAGTTGTTTGGGGGCTGAGTCGCCATAGCCAGTTGAAAGTGAACTCGTATCTGGAAGCCATATCTCTGAGTTTTGAGTGGGCGCATGTCGCCAGTTTGCTGTGCTGCTGTTTACATGCATGAAAAGTGTGAATGAGAACGAGTATGATTGCAGATCCAAGTCCATGGCTTATTTTTGGTTCACTGGGAGGGCCTATTTTTGGTTCACTGGAAGCATTGGCAAGTACCGAGCAAATACATTCGCTGCAACTTTTGGGGGTCGGAACTACTGGACCAAAAAAACGGCTGGTCTGGGCAGCCAAATGAAAAAAAAAAAAAAAAAAAAAAAAAAATCTACTCAGGTTCATGTTTCTTTTTCGGCGCACAGCACTCTCCGCCTCAGCAGAACAGGCCCGTAGGTAGTGGCCCTTCAATTCTGCCCAGCCAAAAAAGTTGGTGGAGTTGAGGTGGGGGAAAAAGAAATCCTGACGACATCTCCACCCCTCCCCCCTTTCCACTGACATACTGATCATCCGACATAAGCTCTTTTCTTTTTCTTTTTCTTTTTTTTTGGGGGGGGGTTAAGGCTGACGGCCTGGAAGCACTCTTTTCAAAAGTGCCGTTTGCACAACTTTCCTGAATGGTATGTGTTTCGGTTTCCTGTGGATTGCCCCTCTAATTTGATTTAACGACTTCAGTCAGGCAGTTAGTATAGGTGCCTTGAATCAAGTTGAAGGTTTAGGGTCTGTGGATTCGAACTCAGGTCTGATTGTGCACAGTGCATGGGCGATACCATTCAGCCACATGGGCTAGAGTTTGTGGAGTCATATCACGTGTGATTGTACACAGTTCATGGGTGATACCATTCAGCCGCATGGGCTATCCGATGGTTGGTTGCAGAATACTTCTGGTCATTTCAGAGAAAGCGCTCAAAATCGTGAGCGCGGTAGAGAGGTCCGGACGAAAATGCAAGGCAAGGCGTTGATTGTGGGACAGATACGATCTGAAGTATAGCACAGAGAAGGACGTAATAAATGAATAATGCTTTCCCCCAGCTTCTCTTGGGGGCTTTTCAGTCAAAACCAGGGTTGCATACCCGCCTACCGCCGACACCAACAGCCGACCATTTTCCAGCCTACCAGTACGGCCGAC